CATATATATAAAACAGGACTGCCATGTGTCATGAATTAATTTAAGCCTGGAAAGCAGACTGCTTTGGAATTAAAAAATAGGCAGAAACTCTTATCTCCCCTCTTCTTCCTGAAACTAGACAAAGCCAGGGGACAGGCTGGTCCGCTGTCTGGCCTTTTAGTGTTTCTCTCTGCTAAAAAAAATTTCTTTTTTTAGGCACTGTGGAGCCTGGTGACTGTCCTAAACTCACAGACTTTGTGTGTCAAAATGGTCATTGCATAGAGTCCCACTTGGTGTGCGACAATAAGGCAGACTGTGCTGATGGATCGGATGAGTGGGACTGCGGTGAGAAAAAATACAACATTTTGTCGTTCATTGTTGAGGATTATATCATGGCAAAGAAAAATCTTTTCCCCCTTTTCCTCTACCTTTCTTCTAGCTCACATATTTGGCTCACCGGGTGCTTGTAACTTCAACATGAAGGAGGACAGGTGGGAGCAGAGATGCCAGCTTTCTCAGGACGGCGATGACGACTTTGATTGGATGATCGGCCACAAGACAGAGACAGGAGCTGGACCACAATCTGACCACAGCCCAGGTCTGCACATGCTCAGATGTCATCCTCATTTTGTTGGGCACTTTCTTGTAAAATAAAAAAAAAATGGATAAAAAGTCAAATAAAACTAAAAGTTTAATTGTCCAAGCTCTAAATATCTGTTATAGAAAATAGATGTTTGATCTGAGTTTTGTGGCTGCTTTTTGGATATAGAGTAACTGTCCCAAAGCACCAGGTTTGCTGTTTTACCATGATTCAATTAATGCTTTTATTTTTAAAGCGAAGGGAACCTGAGAATCAGGATATGTTAAAAAGACTTGATGTAAAAACAAGATTAAATACAAGCCCTTGAAAAGGAGTTTACATCCTTAAAAGATTTCCTTCATTTTATTATTTTTTACATTAAAATGTTTTAAATAATGAAAACAAAGTGTTTTGACAAAGTGTTTTATTTCATCAATGCTTGTCCAGACTCAGGTTTGGCCATATAAGAGAGCAAAATCCATTGTTCTTATAAATAAAACTACGGTATAAATTATCTAGATTTGATGCAGCAAAACAGCCTACAACTTTCACAGGGTGTTGCTGCTAAAAGTGATCACTGTTGTCCAAAACATGTACAATCACACAAATAATGGGGAAAACATAATTTTTTTCACACCGGGTGAAGTTTGTGTTGATAGCTTTTTATAAAAATAAAATCATGGTTATGTTACAGCCTTTCATATTTACACAGATTATCTTTGTCTAACATTAAAATGTGTTGGATGTTATAAAATACTGGAAAGAAAAAAGTAAAAAATTGAAAACATCTTTGGGGCAGCAAATACTTTTTCCTACCACTGTGTAAAAATGTTGATAATGACATGATAAATGGTAGCCAAACTGTTTCATCAGGCTAATTGAACTTAAGCATCCTACTATAGTTTGCTGAAACTGATTTAGAGTTTAGTTACACCAGTATCAGCCATCCACTCAAATATTGTTTCAAGACAGAACCAGATATTATCCTTTGCTTTTTTTCTTGAAATAATAACAATGCTGTCAGGTAAAATCATTTGTCTAAATTAAGAACAAACAACAGTTCCTTTCCCTGACACCCTCAATGTGTCCAGCTTTCTTCCAGCGTCTTTGTACTTTCAACTTGATAGCTGAAAAGTGGCAGCTTCAGAGATCTTCTGAAGGCAGGGTTAATAAAAACATCCAGATGCATGCAGTTAAACAGATAATAAAATATTTGGCCTTGTTTACGATAAGCAGAAATGCCAGACTTTTCTTTTTATACATATTTTTAGTAAAAGGAAATGTTTGTTACCTTAATCTATGTAAGAAAATGAAATACACAGCTTTCTTCTTCCTTAAGGTGCTGTATTTTCTGGTTTGTTTCTTTATCTTCTGCATAGATGATGAGGGAATGAGCTAAATCAAACAAAAAAGAAAGAATGATCACATTTTTTTTTTTTGGTAGGCTTAAAAGAATTAAATGAAAACTTACTGGGATCCTTTTCTTGAAATTGGAGAATTTACTAAATTTAAGTCAACACAGCTGCTTACAGCGCTTTAACCTTTAAACCAGGCACACAAGGGGCAACTCTCTTTATGATTGTTGGGGAATTTGGCATGAAGGGTCTTTAGCACTAAATGCATTTATTTATCATACCTTCCTAATTCAACATCATTAGCATAAGTAATTCGTCCAACTTTTTTACAGCCTTGGCGTACTTTCAAAGGTGGTACAATATTACAAATTTCTGCAAGACCCTTTATTATGGTGGCTATAATGCTGTAACAGCTACTATCTTCTTAAATTGTTGCAAAAC